GGTGGGGTGGAGGAGAGCTAGTTAGCCTATTAACCAAGAACGGCACTATTTCAATTTTCGCTTTTCACAGTTTTGACTGCACTCAAAAGTGAAAAAAAAAAAAACTTAGTAAAAAATATAGCACTTGGCTGAGAAGTAGTATCCGAAAGGGCAGCAAATGAATTGTGACACGTTCATTGTTTTGTTTTTTTTGGTTTTTTTTTCGTTCCTTTTTTTCAGGTTCAACCTTACTTTGTTTTACTCATTTTTCTATTAAATGGTATTGCCTGATTATGGATTTAAAAATAGACATATTTTAAGGTCAAATAAAAAGAATTAATAAGTCTTTCACCGGTCCAGGGTGCAATGGGCATGCACAAACTTCTGATCTTGGTGTGGATGCTGAGGTTGATCGATCTTCATAATGCTGTCAGTTTAGCAAATGTATGATTTACCTTGCCAATCCTTGGGTTTACTTCTTTGTTACTGCTAGTCATTGATCTTGTTCCCTAGGCACTCAAGCCAATCCTTGTCACAGTCACATCTTCCAATCAGCATGGGCATGGGCACGTGTTCATTCTGATTGTGTCCTCCATTCTGTTCTTTACCCCCACACTCATGACTTCTCTTCCTTGTTTTACTTATTTTATATTTCATTATTCGTTTAAGTGTTACAGTTATTGTTTTTTTAAAGAGAGTTATTAAATTAAGTTTCGTCAGAGAACGCAGGCATTATGTAAAACGAATGAATTAATTAGAAAGCGAAAGTTCTATAGTACGTAATCTCATGAATATTTACTAGTTTAACATAATTGTACTTCCTCATATTATGGGAGTATAGATAAGCTAGGTCGAATAATTCTAGGCTTGAAGTTAGATATAGGCCTGCATATTTTAGTAAGCTCAATGGATATGAGGTCGGGATGAAATAAATATGTCATGCTAACATATTTGTCCTTCTGATGGTTGATAGGAAGTACTAAATATACAATAATCAATATGCCGAAAGGCAAAAACAAGCTGAATCTGACTATTTCCGTGTCTGAGCCCCAGACAGACGGAAGCGAGTGAGTTTATATTTTATATTTTTTAAAGTTTTAGTTGTATACTAATTAATAATAAAAATAATATTAATGCTATACTTTACTAATTATATCGTAAGGTTTACATTCTCAACTCCAGAATTGCTTTGATTGTCATATTGATTTATTGTTTTTCATGAGTACCCAAATAAAATGAGAAGGCCTAATTAATTATAATTAATTTTTAATTGTGTTTGCTTTGCTCTCCTCTCTCTGCAGTCTAACCAACTAGTCAATAAGTCTAGCACTCCAAGTTACTTTAGTATACTGTCTATTAATAGAAATAGTGACTAGAATTAGAAGACTATCATTATCATGTTGTTTTCTGCACTCTGACTGTAGTCTAGTATAGTATAGGCTAGTGTATGCCTATACTTACTTAGACTTACTACTGTCAGCAGTAGAAGTAGTCTTTTAGTTATTTAGTGTACAAATAATAAAATATACTAAAGGGGTTGTCCATTAATGATTAGGTCAACAAAATAGGGGAGAGGAGTTTTGGAAACGAAGTGGTTATGCGCAGCCGACTGCGTATAACCCTGAGAGTTATACGCAGTCGGCAAGTCACGTGACGTCTATATTCTTCCTGTGTTACAGTTTCAATCAATAAGGGTGCCTTGATATCGGGGTGACTGTGTGGTCGAATGGTCTAAACTGACCAAACCTCAAGTTGGTGGTCTTGAGTTCAATTCCAGCTAACGGCAAGCCATGAATACGCGTTAGTTGCCATGCTTGTTCTCGAGAATGAAGCAACAACTAGGCTTATTGTTTTACTTTTTTTTTGGCTAAAAAATGTTAAAACATGAGACGAATTATTAACTTGAACAATGTAATGTTAATAATGTTATACTTATAATTATCAAATATATGTTTGTGTTGTTAACTAATTTTGTGGCAGATAAAATCATGTTTCACTGGTACAGTAATAAAAATAATCATGGGTTGAGAGTAGCAGGAAAAAAATCGCTGTAGGGGCAGGGGTTCTGTAGAGGGGTCAGTGTAAGTAATACTTTCACACAGTTATAGTTTTGCATGGAAGCTGAAAACTGTTACATTTAGGTCATCAAAAAAAAAAAATCATAAATGATAAAATTTAAATAGTTTTGCATGGAAGCTGAAAACTGTTACATTTAGGTCATCAAAAAAAAAAAATCATAAATGATAAAATTTAAAAAAAGATAAATAGAATGTATTTCCTGAATTAGTCAGTAAAACCAACCACATAGACATAGACATAGTCATAGCAACATATAAAAACCTAATCAATCAAAATACATAACTAGACTTAGACCATGGAAATGCCTTTAAAAAAATCTAAGACTTAGGCTTAGACTCTAAGAAATGTAGACTTTGACTTATACTTATAATTATAATATATAAGATACAAGCAATAATACTAATAATAGCACTAATACTATTGCTATCATCAATTTCAATATTAATTAAAATTAATTCAATTAAAATTTTACGTTAAGCACATCAAAAGTTCTAGTTCAAAACAACCCGTCATGCAGCTCATTAGGCATAATACTTTTTTTTAAAAAATTGCCAAACAAGCCATAATAAACCTTATTTGGCTAAATTCCCAGCCGACTGCGTATAACCCTGAGAGTTATACGCAGTCGGCTGTGAATAACTCTCAGGGTTATGCGCAGTCGACTGCGTATAACTCTCAGGGTTATACGCAGCCGACTGCGTATAACGCTTCCCTTTTGGAAATGTTAGACAGTTGTTGACAAGGGGGAGGGAGGGAGGTTTAGATTAGTTGATGTCAACAATCATGTTTTCTCTATTAAAATTTTAATCTTAAAAATTGACTGGTTATTAATTACATTATTTTAAAAATGTATCAGTGTAAATGAGTGTAAATAGTCATATAATTTTTAGGCTATTAACAATACAAATATAATTAATGTGTGTCTGTACACTGCAGATGGCTGGTCAGAATGTTAGTACACTTTGTTTACGTTAGTGCAAGAGAATTCAAAAGTTGGCTTCTCTTCACATGTAGATTCTGTTGCAGCTATGGAACAACAAGGTTCTATTATCGTGCAGTCAATATAATGGTATTGATAGAGTAGGAATACTATATTTTTAGAATTAGGGGAAGTAAAGTGAGTAACAATAATAACATCGCTGCTTAAAGGGCTTGGCAAAATCTGTAACATCTATTTTGCATCACAAGTCATGTTGAAAAAGCATGTTCAACAGAACCGAAAATGCCCTCTTGAGCAAAAGAAATTAGCACCAGTTCCTCAACAAAAAGGATTCGACCAATATGAGTAGCTGCAAGGAGATAAAGAGGGCTTATGGCAATTATTGCTCACACCAACAATGCTTCTATTTTAAGTGCTGAATGGTTAGATGAGGATGATGGTGACTTGTCTGGTATATCAGTGCTGCAAGATGAAAGTGATCATTCAGTATGATTCAGCTACTATAGACTTTGCCCATCAGAGGCGTCATTTCATTTTTTTTTTTCAAGTGGTGGTGGGGGGGGGGGGGGCGGCGGCGCAAAACCAAACCTTGGTCAGCTCGTTAAGTTGTTTATTACTAGAGGCGCCACAGTACATAGTAATGTAAATAAAACTGCAAATGCCCCCCTGCCCTACCCAAATGATGTCCCTGATGCCCATTGTTACGATAGAGCAAACCTGGCTACTCCTTGGAAAGATGATAGCAGCTAGAAACTATACTATAATTTTCGCTTTACTGGCAATAGTCATATTTATACCACAAACAATGATATTTAGTCTTTAAGAACCTTTCAATTGATTCTGCATTAGAAAATTTAAGTGTAAAAACCTTTTAACTTTTTGATTAACACTATAAAGATGTAATGAAATGTTTTTCCTACAATTTTATTGACATTAAAATAGATCAGCACAAATTAAAATGTATTTATACATTTATTTAAAATATAATTCCTTTTTTTTTGGGGGGGTGGGGGTGGTTAGAAAATGTTGACATAATTAAATAGGGGGGTCATTGAAAGTTTGACAGTTGTTGACAAGGTGGGGGGAGGGGGTGAAAAAAAGCTTAAAAATTGTTGACGTAATTAATGGAAGACCCCTAAGCTAAGTGGCAAAGCCAAGGGCTACAAATTGTAATAACAGGCCTAATAACGGAATTTTTATTGCTATCTGTAGAAATAGCGTAATATATAGCATAAAGCACATATGAATATGATGAAAAGCCTTTGTTGCTCCCGATTGCCATGGCTGTTTTAAAAAAAAATTTTACTGTTAACTTAATTTAATAGTTGACTCTTAAGCATGACTCTTAAGTTTTACTGTCATTTGCTGTCCCTTTGGGCACTTTGGAGTTAAATAATGAGGGGAGAAGTTAACTTATTAAAATTACCTGGTCAGCTCCATTAAAATGTAAGGGTTCTTGCAGAAGATGTTTAAGTACACCACACAGGAAAGTTGCTTGCTTAATTTCCTAGATATCCATATAGTGATATGAATCTTTCATTTCTGAATTAATCTGTTATTTGTGTTATAGAAAGATAGTTATGCATTTGTATCACAGAAAACAAACTAGCTATTTAGTTGATATTTACATTTATTTTTTTTTTGCTGAAAAGTAGAATTTTGTTGGTATTTTCAGTCGACAAAATGGTGCTCAAGCTAATCTCGAAGCATTACAACAAAAGTTACAGGAACTTGATATTGACGACCAACAAAGGGAGAGACTTGAGGAATTTCTTTCCCAGAAGCAAAAGATTGGTGAATTAATTGAGGAAGACTTTAAAAAGCTGGGAGAGTTAGGAGCTGGAAATGGTGGTGTTGTCACAAAAGTTTTACACCACCCATCAGGACTTATTATGGCACGCAAAGTAATTTGTGTATAATATGGCAACATTATCTTTTTATCAATACAGCTATCTTTTATTTCAGATCAATTATATTTTTTCCAAATCAAAATGCTGAGTAACTCGCTGGTATAAAATCATTCCATTCTTTTTTACGTATGCAAGCATAGGGTGCATAAACTTTTAAGTTTTAATTAGCATTCATAAATGTTGAACAAGTTTGAACAAATTATAGAATCTAAATATAATAATTTTTATCAATGTTTTTTCACTTTGACTTTTAAAAATTAATTTTTGAAAAAGAAATAGGATTTTTGTGTACCTTTTCCTAATTTTTTCTTCAGCTTATTCATCTGGAAATTAAACCAATGGTTAGAAATCAAATAATTCGTGAGTTGAAAGTTCTTCATGAATGCAACTCACCTTATATTGTTGGTTACTATGGTGCTTTCTACAGTGATGGGGAAATAAGTATTTGCATGGAATATATGGTATGTAGAATAAGTAGACAGTTTTGAAATCATCCTATGTCTGAAACAATACTTATCTGGAACAAATCGCTAGCTTTTTAAACAAATGAACATCTATGCTTTAAAAAGCAACTGATATGTGTAAGTTAAGAGTTTAAAGCTTATTTATCTTGAACATTTTGCTGTATTAACTATTTTATCTTGAGCTTTGGTTACTTAACCCTTTGACCCCGCGATCCCACTTTATAAGTCTGCGCCTTGAAAATCCACACCCCGCCAGATGGATATTTCGGTCTCCCATACCCTAACATAGATCGACAGTCCATATATAAAATGTGTTGTCAAAACTGAATTCAGGGTTTATCATGTGACAAAAGGTCACAGTAATGGCCGCGCCCATGAATGCATTGTTTTTGTTATGTTTTAGTAATGTTTTTGGATGTATAGAGGTGACGAAAATACACAAATTGCTATTGGAAAGCACCCAAACCAAATTAGTTTTATGACAATGTAAAATAAATCAAAGGATTATTATTGTGTTCAGAAAAAAGATTGAAATAAAGCAAACGGACAATGATAGTGACTTCAACTTCTAGTGCTATTGATGTGTACTTTGGGAATAAAATAAACAACACAAGGTCTACCCCCTAGGCTTTTATAAAAAAAATCAGGGTCCTATAAATGACCTTTTACTAAGCTATTTTAGACCATTACTAAAACAATTTTCTCCTTGTGAAATTGTTTATAATACTTATGGACTACTAACGGACAAATTTATATTGAAATAAATACAATTTATTTAATTTTATAATCATTTGAATTTGTTTGCTTGTGTGTCAGTTTGTAGAATTTGAGCCCAGGGGCATGGGTATTTTAGGACCAGGAGCCAAGGGTTCAAAGGGTTAACGATTCAATTTATTTTAATGCTGGTACATGAAAATTTCATCAGATATACTGCCAACATTATTAAATTTTTGATTATTTAAATCTGTCAGGGAAAAATAATTGAATCATTAATAACTAAAAGATGTGATGTTTGAAATTTTAAAAAGAAGACTAACTCCAATATTTTAATGATGAATAATTTATAGCTGTAATATATGTTAACATTCCTAGTTACACATTTTCATATTTGTTCAGGATGGTGGTTCATTAGATTTGATTTTAAGAAAAGCGGGGAGAATTCCAGAGCCAATTCTAGGAATAATAAATATTGCTGTAAGTGTTTTTGAAATATTTTTTTAATTGTTTGTTCCATTTTTATGTTACTGTTCTAGTGAAGTTAAATTTTTAATTTAATAATGACTTAACTCAGTGTTGTCATTTTAAAACAATTTAATTCCCTTATATGTTATTTCTTAAATATCATGGCTAATATTAAAATTATTTTTTAACTTGAATCTTTTGGGTCTTCACAGGTTCTCAAAGGGTTGTCATATCTCAGAGAAAAACACCAAATTATTCACAGAGGTATATGCTGTTTTTATTACATTAAACAGAAACTAATATAATTTAATTACAAATTCATGCCTGTGTTTTCAGATACTTAAGTGTATTATTCTAACAAAGCTTATGGAAAGTTTAATGTGAAAAATTGGCTAAAAAATATTGATCTTGATAAAATTTTGTGTGATTATATACATTTAAAATCATATTAATCTGGACATGATGCTGTGTGAATACATTCATTTATTTTCTTTTCACATGAACCAAAAATTCTTCCATGAAAAAAAAATGTATCTCGGCTAAGGAAAAAAATAACTACCACTATATTACTACCATATTGCTAAATTTGTAATGGTTTTATGACTGAACTTTCTATTCGTGGCCGATTTCTGATAATAAATAACAAACAGCAGTTGCTGTGAAATTTAAAAATTCGGGAGACTTGCGCAGCACTATTTTTTTTAAAGTTGAGGAGACATACTTAAAACTGGAGTCTTGTGTGATTCTTTAAAGAACAGACATTTGAAAAGAAGTTCTGAATTACTAACTCCATATCGTAATGCAATTAATACTAGAGACTACTTTTTTAACTATGGCAATATCAATAAATTTGTTTTTTGTGTACCAAAATATATTATTATCTTTGTTCATTTTCTTGTATTTATCTAGATGTAAAACCATCAAACATACTTGTAAATTCAAGAGGAGAAATAAAACTATGTGATTTTGGTGTGAGTGGTCAACTCATAGACTCTATGGCCAACTCGTTTGTAGGTACCAGGTCTTATATGGCAGTAAGTGTTACCTAAAAATTTTTCACCTCATATTCTTTTTTAGAAATTGATTGATTGTGCATGTGTGGTATCTCTTTAAACAGTATTCTCTTATTATAGATAATACAAAATGGGATTACTCAGTTTCTCATTAGCTGTATGAAAATGCTAATCAAATTAAATATATCAATTTATAAATTCCATTGATGCCTCATTAGACCTTTAAAACAACAACCAATTTATTTTTAAATTATTTTTATAGGCAATTTAAGATACAGTGATACAGTTGGGCGTAAATCACTAATATATATTTAAAAAAATAGTATATGGTGTGAGAACTATGGTCTTCTGAACTGACAATAAATTTAATTTATAATTATGACAAACGTTTTAATGTAAAGTACTACACAAACATTTATGTATTGAGTGATACATCAATATGTAAAAAAAAAAAATTAAATTCTATAACTGTCAGTGCAAACAACTGAAAGTTCACCTCAGGCTTTAGTTAAATATTGCTTTATTTGAAATTTTGCTTCATGCCAATTGAAATTTGGGTATCAGGTTATTATTAACAGTTTTAATAAATTAATGCTGATCTGGGGGATGAAAATTAAAGGAAAATATGACTATGATGCTTGTATTCTGTTGTCAGTATACACAGCGAACATTAATTATGATTTAAGTTTGTTTGTTGCTGTGGTACTGAAAGTGCTCTTTTGTGACAAGGCTGGCCTCGCAATTTCCTAAGCATTTTTTTTTTTTTTTGCCAGCCCGAGAGGTTACAAGGTACACATTACTCAGTACAGTCCGATATTTGGAGTCTTGGCTTATCCTTAGTGGAGATGTCCATTGGAAGGTATCCTGTTCCACCTCCAGATTCCAAGGATTTAGCCAGTATCTTTGGAGAAAATGCTAATGAAGAACACTTAGAGGCTGCAAAAACTGGAAGACCCCTTAAAGGTAAGTGCTTCTTTTGTCTAACATTATGAAAAATTTTTGGTGTCCATCCATGACCAAAATTTTGTATTTGTTCAGTTTGTTTAATACCAATTACTCTTTCACAGATCTATATATTGATCCTAAGAATGCACTCTAATCAATTATAAAGAAGGAAAAGAATTTTCTGCTCGGTACCATATGTTTATTCTCATTGGCTAATATGATAATGGAGATGTTATGTAACAAACCATGGAAATGAAAAGGACAAATAAATTGAAAATTTAACAAGAAAATGAAGAGGAACAATTAAATCATAATAAAACATGAAAATGAAAAGGGACATTTGATTGATAATAAAACTTGAAATTGATGAGGAACAAATTAAACATGCTCCCAACTTATAATTCCTTTTACATTTGATTATATCTTTCAGATTTTACTTTGAGCTCTGTTATTTATTGATTTTTTTTTTCACATTGTTTATCTTTCCTCCGCACTTATGTTCAATGTCAGTCAAAGAGGTTTGGTGTGTCTTAATAATTGAGACGCACCCTCTTTATCTCTCTCTCTCTCTCTCTCTACATCTTTCATCCTGTTTCTTGTACAACCACTCTCTTGAGTTACCTTGCAGCCTGTCCAGGAGACATAGAAGTTTTTACAGGAGATGGGCCCCTACCAATGGCCATATTTGAACTGCTTGAGTATATAGTCAACGAGGTAACCCATGGAAGTCCTTTGCATGATGTCCATCAGTATTTACTACTACTTTTTAATCATGTTTTAATTTATTTGTCAATCTTGTGCATTTCTTTTTTTTTTTTTTGAACCGCATGCAACCTCCTGGGCTGCTGTTAAGTGAAGCAAAATAGGCTTTTATTTATAAGTTTACAATTATTTTGCCCCTGCTCCTGGAATCTAAAATATTTACTACTACTTTTTAATCATGTTTTAATTTATTTGTCAATCTTGTGCATTTCTTTTTTTTTTTTTTTGAACCGCATGCAACCTCCTGGGCTGCTGTTAAGTGAAGCAAAATAGGCTTTTATTTATAAGTTTACAATTATTTTGCCCCTGCTCCTGGAATCTAAAGTCAAAAGTAGATAACTTATTTGTGAGTTTGTTTTTATTTTAATTTAAGAATTGCTTAAAGCTTGTGTAGATGCCGTTACTGCTCAATTTATTTTAATTAATTTTGTATTGAAAAGTTATTTGAGGCATCAATTTAATAGAAGACTTCTCAGAAGTTGTCAAAGGTGCATTTATTTCTATTTCTATAGATCTAGTAATTTTTAAAGTAAATCTAAATTCTCTGAAAGTAATAAATTTCAATTTTAACATAAGTGGTTCATTTACGTTAAATAACAGCTTAATTTTTTGAAGAAGAACTCAATTAACATCTAGGCATTATTATAAGACTCAATAACAGTCAAAATGCATGGCTGTTAAAAAATTGACAGAAGCTATGCAGATGTACACTATGTGTCATTGCATTTGTTTTTTTTTGCATGGATTGCCAAGAAAAACTCATCTTGTCATTCATCATTGTAACGCAATAATCTGCCAACCAAATTCAGGGCCACTTTTTAAATCAATACTAAAATTCAACTTAGCAAATTTATAGAACAATCATTATAGCTCAGACGAAGGTATGCACATGAACTTCTGTTCCATACATCCTTATGTGCATATACATATTAAAGGAAAGAATACACCAATTATTGTTAAGCTTGATTTTAACTGAGACCTCCAGGAGATTGTTCTGTGGTTCACTGACTCCAAAGATGCTTTCCATTTGCATTATAATGTTTCACATTTTTTTGGATAGTGTTATTACACAACTGAAAATATTACAATATTTATTTCTTCAGGCATGTGCATTTAATTTTGGTCTTTTAAAATCTATTTCATTAGTTTTCTTTTTACTTTTCATCGGAGAAGATGCTTATTTTAAGCCTGTAATTTTCTCTCTTTGTTCACACAAAGTTATTTCACACTGCTTGTTGAGATTGATTTTTTTCAACTTTGCAAAAAAATGTTTTTAATTTTAAGTTTTTAAAAAATTATTATTTCAATATGCAAGTTAAAATATTGAGGGGGAAAGTCTATGGGAATAACCAGTTTAAATTTATATACTATACTGTAGTAATTATTAGTTTGCACGCATTGTTAGATCAGTTTTGGTCTCCTTTTAAATTAAATGCACACAGATTTACATTTTCAATGTTTTCTTTTAAAAAAATGTCATTTTATGTTCTGATTTTATGATGGGATCTTTTAAAGTCCTCACAATCTCAGCTTTAGTGTCTTAGATTGTTCATTATAATGCTTTTGGAAAGTCTTTGCCATGTTTATCATATCTTGATTCACTTTCATTATCAATTATTTCAGCAATTTTCCATGTTTCGTGCCATGTCATCAGCATCTTTTTTTTTTTCCTCCATGTTCCATTCCATATATTGATATCTCACCTGCCACCTTATGTTCATTATTTTAAGTTATGTTTTGTTTTTATTTATGATTATTTTCCCACTTTGATGTTGATTTGAACTTCCTGTGGCTGCCTCCCCCTTACTGGTCGGAGACTTCCAGCTTTCAGTGTGTGTGCGTCTGTAACAGCTGGGTTGTCTTCTCTTGCTTTCTAGGCACCCGCAATAACTTTACGGTACCAACGAAGGGGGGCGCTGCTGAGGCACCAAAAAACATGGCCATATTTGAGCTTTTAGATTACATTGTGAATGAGGTATGTGATCACTGGTACTCTTGTACTATTTAATGTAAGAGAAACATGGTTTGAGCTGAAACTGGCAACGGCAGGGGCAGGTTGCTCATTTGCAAACAAACTGATTTGAAGGTTTAAGATGGGAGGCCCATTTGGGTGGCAGAAAATGTATGCCCTGAAAAGTAAGAGTTTTACCAGGACCAATAATTATTTACTCCTGTGTTGTTTATAATTGTAGTTATAATGTGTTTGTTATCTGTTCATGTGCGGTGTTATCATTTATGTGCGACTGACTCAATGTATCAAATATTATATATTTCATCTGTAGTATTTACTAGGAAATAAAGCATCGTTATTGATTTTTGTTAGCTTAAACACCAGACCAGAGAAATAGTATGGGATTCTGTACATGTGTGCATTCTAAGAATATCAATGATTAAAGCAAGTGTTAAACGGTCTGTGTGTCACCTTTGCAGGCAGTGGATCCCCCTAGGTTATTGATTAAAACACTGACATCCTTGTCACTAAGGGAAGTATGCTGTGCTGGGGAATAATTGACCTAGGGTATAAAACTCAATATTTCTTGCAGAAATGGTGGAATGGCGGCCAGCTATTGATTATTCTACCTCCCTCCCCATTATCAGATTTATTCCCACTCATGTTTGATCAAGGAAAGGACTTTGTAATAACCTTCTATTTAAACCCATATAAAATGGAGAAAACATTTTGGTGACAAAATGTAAACATTTATATAATGTTGGGGAAAGTTACACAGCATTTTACAAAACATATTACATGTAAAGCTGTCCGCAGTTGTCATGCAGCTCAGACTATGCCATTTGTCAACTTAGACAAAATATTATGATTTGTGCTTGAGGTCCAACATGTTTTCAGGAAAGGACAAAGTAAAAAAATGCCTAAAATTTGTACTAATTTTACCACAGTCTTAGACTTTTTTTTGTTAAGTTTCATTTTTACATTTAATTAAAAATATGAAGTTTAAATGTTTTATTATTTTAAACTTGAAATTGCCCCAAGCACTATCATTTGTAATTAACAACATTATGAGACCTCTGACTCTTTTTTTTTTTTGCCCTTGTTTTCGTTTTGTTTACTTTCCGTCCTGTTTTCATGTTCATTTTTAGCATGATTTTTTAATATTTAGAATAATTAACCTTTCTTTAAAATATAAATTAATATTTTCTAGTTCTTAACAGTTTTTACCCTCATTAAAAAAACAAGCATTATTTCAATACTTATTCCTATGCACTCACAAATAAACCAAAATTCACAAATCTCTTGCAAAATTAAAGTCACTTTAAGTTGCGCAAAATGCCAATTTGCATGTTGTTTGCTTAATGATAATTTACCACTGTTTTGTTAACAATTTGTTGAGAGAAAGAGAGAAAGAGAAAGACATAAAAAATCTCATGTCACTGTGCTGTGGTGCACATTTGAGTGGGCTTTTATTTGTTCTGTCCACAAACTGTTAGAACCGGCTGAATCTTGCAAAAAAAAAAAAAAAAAAAAATTTTTTTAATTTTTGTCTGCATTTTGCTTTAACATTTAAACCAGTTGTTGATCAAGCTTGCACGTTAGGATGACATTATTTTTTATGGGTGATGGAAAAGATTTAACAAATATATTATTATGGAAAAGGGTTAAAACAAAGTCTTAGAGAGCATAGTTGATTAATATTATCAATCAACAAAAATAATTTTGCGCAAGGGGAATTAGAATCAAATGATGTCTTACTACAGATTTTGATCAAAATTATGTTTTTGTTTTCCTAAATATTTTTGAACCCATATTGAGAGTTCTTGTTTTATTATTACCTTGTTAAGTTTTTGCATGGTGAGTTTAATCATTAAATGAAATAACAAAATTACATTTTAAAAATAATGTTTTGCTAAAATAAAATTGGAAATGCATGATTTGGAGATCAATGTCATTTAATTTTCTCCTCCGTTCATGCATAATTGTATCTACATTTATTTATTTGATTTTTTTTTTTAAACTAAAATTTAATGGGCACAGAGCTTATTCAAATTACAAGAGCACATTAACTTTGAAATCTAAGCTTCTTGAAATAACATTTTTTCCTTCAGTTTTTATTTTGAAATGCTTTTTAGCTTTGCCAAATTTTTAAAATAAATTATCCACAGAGGTCTCATAGGGTCGGATTCAAAATTTTTGGAACAAATATCATTTTCGGAAGGTTCCATTTTACATTCATATACCTCAGATGCACATATGAGCATTTAAACTAATTTTTTTAATTATTTTTTTTTTTACATTTTTTTTTTACATCCATTATTTTCCTTGCTGTTCAAGTTATTTGTGCAATGACAAAGCAGTTAGAATCTGTAGCTTTTACTGTTGAACCTGCAATGTTGTCATGGTCAACTGTTGTTATCATCACTCACATCTTGCAGACTAACACCTGCCAATGATTGTTGAATTCCTTCCTAAATGTCACTGTTTGTGTAATTATTGTCAGTTCTCCTCCTACTTCCTTCTTCATTTCTTACACATGATAAATCAATAATAAAGTGCCCAGCAATACAGTGTGTGCTTAGGTTTTGATTATAAAATAAACTAAGTAATGAATATGGTAATTTTGTTGTCTGCATAAAATTCTTTTTTGAAACCATGGGCGATATGTTAAATGAAACCTTTCAGTCATAATATGTGGTTAAAACTTTGTCATGTTATCGCGTTAAAAATTACAGAAAATTGTTTTGTAAGTTTTCCAAGCTGCAACTCAGATCTAAATTTATGATTGCTCAAATTAGATATACTTTATTGATAATTTGCAGAGAGAACATTTAAAAAAACAGAAAAAGCAGCTTCTCAATTTCATAGGATACCTGTAACACCCCCATCCCCGGGCATTAGGGAGTTAAGTGCCTGCAAGAGTCGAGAGGTGCATGCTGGGTCCAAGTGAGGATATTATACAACATGGATTAATTCCTATTGACTTGTTAATTCTACATTTATCAAGAACATTCTTAGATAATTTTATAGTTTATGTTGGATTTTTGGAGGAAAAAAAAATTAGTTTTTACACATTTTCTTTTCATTTCTATCTTTCATGAAGCATTTTGTCATCTGCATTTTTCTCTTTTATTAGATTTTTTTTAAAATGTATATTTTAAAAATAAAAAAATAAAAAACTACAGGAAATGAATTTTGAGAGAAAATGTATTGCATACAAGCAGTGAGCTTGACATAAGCATAATTATGGATTGTTGCTGATCATTTAAATTACTATGGTGCCTGTAATGATGAGAAGAAACCAAGCTGTTATAAATGGTAGTGCACCACCAATGTTGCGTGTTATAGAAGCACAACGCATGACTTTAAGGAAATATATTTTTTTTTAAATTTGACATAAGCTTTTGTTTCAACTTTAGAATTAGTTCATTGTTGTGACAAGAAAATAGAGACTAGCTTACAAAATAGTCTATTTTGCTTGTTTGATAGAAGCTGCTTTCATAGAAAATAGGCAAATTTGTGTTTATTTTTTAAATATATTTTGTATTGAGAGAGCCATAAAAGAGAAATGTGTATCTGATAGTATTAAATAATACATATGATATGGGTGTAAATTGCTATTTCAAGTTCATGAACAGGAATAATTGGATTAAAAGATGAAGTTTTAAAATTCACGTGAATACGATGATAAAATTTGTTCTTTAAAAATAATAAGCATAGAATAAATTAATATTTAAATGCATCATTTGACAAAGATATAAAAAAATTCTGATAATAGACGGTACATGTAGGGTATTTCATTATAGATAGAACAAGGATATTTAATTATAGTTAGTTCATGTGTGGTGTTTCATCAGTTTGAATGATGTGTGACGAGCACAGTTGTTTTGCAAGTTTGATCACAAATATTCACTAAAGTGTTTTGTTTTGTTTTTGTAAATGGCATTTTGGCAGCTGATATATAATTTGATTAATTAAGGAATTTGAAAGATTTGATGTCGTTCTACGGATAGTGGTTTTTCATAGAGCATCCCGAATGATGGCTCGCTTTTTAAAGAAAAAATTCTTTGTCCTATTAAATAATGTTCTTAATTACCAGGAGGCAAAGTGTTATTGACTTAAAGCTATGAATAGCCTTAAAATAAAAAAAATACTGTTTAGTTTCTTGTGTGTACAAAACCATCAAAGATATTATTAAAAAAAGAATAAACTGTATACATTTTGTATACGTTTGTGTGTGCATTTATAATTAGTAATTAATGCTCAGCTCTTGCACTAATAATTTCTTTAACTTTTCAAATAGCCTCCACCAACCTTACCCAAAGGAAGATTCTCAGACGAATTTGTGGATTTCGTTGATCGATGGTAAGATTTGCTACTTAAAGCTACCCTGTTTTTGGTAAAAGTTTTCACCACCAAAACCATTTTATAGAAAAAAAATATAGTTGAAACAAGCAGTAACATAAAATTTGCATTTTTTTTCCCCCAAGCTGGTGATCGAACTGAACCATTAACTCCTTAAATCCTGGAGGTTTTTCAATAAAAATATTTGTGAAAACTGCTATTTTAAATTTTGTCTTTGGTTAAAACCTGCTGTGACTGCACATTTATCATGCATCAGGGAAATGTCTCTTATGATTACTGTCGCTAACTATTGGCGAATGTCGCTTATTATTACCTTCGCTAACCATCAATATCAGCGTCCGATTTTAACTCAGCATTGGTTTGTTAGCCTCTGTGTTTGAAAACAAGACATGAATAAAGGCCAGAAGACTTTCATTGGTATTACTGAATTTAAAGAAAAAATTCTGGCATCTGTCATCACAACGGGACACTGTTTTAGACTTTTGCAGGATGAAATCACAAGGCCTGGGATTTTTCTTTAGGAAGATAAGCTGGTTCTCTATACAGCAAACCACCTTTGAATTAGTGTTAAGTCAAAAGAACGTCTTGATAGTTGACAATTCCATATCTGATTTTCCTTTCCATGATAATAACCAGAAGTATCAGGCTGGAAAACTTTGATAGCTTTATTCTTTTTATAATGTACATGATGAAACAATAACACTAAGTGGGTTTTTTTTTCATCAAACCTAACTGGGTTTTCAAGGGCTTGAGCAGTATTTTAATCTATGGATTTTAAATTTGATGTAATCTTAAGTTGAAGTGCCAACGAGTTGTATGAGATTTTCTTTTAAATGTTTTGTATTTCAGTTTGAAGAAAAATCCTTCTGACAGAGCTGATCTTCAGTCGCTTATTGTAAGTACATGCCATATTGATTTCATGTCGGAGTGGAAGAAGTTAGGGTTTAAAATGACAAATAATTTTTGACTTCAATGAATCTGACTTCTTCTATTATCTTCTTATGAAAATTAGCTAGCATTTATATTTTCAATAAAAAAATTAATATATTTTAAAGATATTTTCTTTTTTTTTTTAATGGACACCAGCTGGGCAGTAGAAGAAACAAATTTTTCCTCATAAATGTATTTTATTCATGGTTATTTGCTCTTAGGTTATGAACTTTTTACATAAAACCTGTCTTAACATATGTCCTATGTCAAGCAGAGCTGGTTTTTTTACTTTTGGAAGGCGCCCCCCCCGCCTTTTGGTTTTGTCTCATTGCAAATTCAAGGTGATATTAAAAATGTTTCCACACTACAACTTTGCTTTACAAATAGCCAAGACCACCCCTCCCCACCCCCACCCCCTGCAACTGCAAGTACTGCGGGACCCATGCAAGTGTATATAAATGTTTACTTCAGCTTTAAAAATAATGAGAGTTTACATTGTCTACTAACATGAATGCATTCAGTGTAACAAAGTTATTGATTGATTTGTTCAGTAATGTGGAACTCTCTCTTCTCAGAATCATCCCTTCGTTAAGAAATATGAAAATTCAGAGATCTCCATTGGCCAGTGGGTGTGTAAGGTAATGGATATCCAACCCAGCTGAACATGATGTCCCACCATCAACAAGAGACAAGAAAAGTTGGCTCTTCTTCTCATGTTTTACAATTTTTTAATATATTTTTTTTCTTCAAAAAACTAATGTCTGACAAAAAATAAAAATGGTTGGTTTGAGTGCATATAAATTAGATGGACTAACATCTTTTAAAAAAAAAACAATTCATTTGCGAAAGATCCTCTTTTTACTTTTTCCAATCACCGTTATCAATAAATGTGACATATGGCTTTGTTTCATTTTTATTGTGGTACATATATTTGTGAACTCCACTTTTTTTCTCATTTGCAATTGTTATTGTTCCCTTCAGTGTGGATAAACATTTTTAAGAAGAAACTCTCTGAATACTCCTGTATTTTGAACTTAATAACTACCATGAAAGTTGTCCGCAAGTGAAATGTGTTGACCTAGTTGGACCTTGTTCGAAAAGTAAAAAGATGAATTGCCTTTTTTCCAGGCACACTGTGATATCAGCTCATCTAGAAATAATCAGGTCTGCTTCATGGCGCTTCATGGCTCAGCTCGAGGAAAACTAAGTTTTAATCATGACCTATTCCCCCCCTTACAAAATACAATGAGAGAAATGTAACAAAATATCTGAAAGGTCTGAACTTAAAATCACTTTGTGATTCACTATGGGAGTTGTGTTATTTGTATATTTTCTGAAAGTTTGGTTTTGTATTTCTGTGAAGTATTTGAGAGATGTAAAGATGCCTAAAATGTTGGCTAGGAACTATTTTCAACTGGTTGTTTATATGAATGTTTGGTGACAGCCCATGTTGAAATAGTTGGATGAACTTTGGTTGTAATTAGCGGCTCTGAAGTCAAGGTCTGTTTGGGTGATCTGGCTACAAAGTCAAATGGGAAAATCATATTGATTTCTCTTTGATGTAAAACATTGTGGGATATCACCCCCATCCTTTTTTACACTGTCTGGGATTTAACTTCTTGGTGATTAATTTCAAATTGAAAAATGTTTGATTTTCTACAGTTATAATTTTAAGTCTTCTGCCGACCTGTGTTTGAAGCTATTTCTGTGACTTGTAACAAAATTCCTTTTTTTCTTTCCCTGTGTAAAATTGAATCAGTTTCCTGAACTAAAATGTGAGTCCAGTATTGGATTCTCCGACTTACTATAATTATAAATCCTCTTGGGTAGATAATATTATATTTTTTAATTTTAAAAAAGTGGGGATTTCAGATTCAATAAGTGATAGTCAAAGCCAGGTAAATAGTCTAGTTCAAACTAATTTCTTTATCGTATGGTATTCCAGAATTCAGAATAATTTCTACACACCACATTTTTAAGTTTACTCCAGTAACTTAGATCTGCTTGAATCTGTAGTACATTGTATGTGTTGCTTTGAATTTAATTTTCTTATCCTGTGCTCTCCCTGGCAGCTTATTCAAGGTCACTTTCCTATCAGACAAGTGATTCTAGAATTAGCGAAAGTTGTGTGTTTCTTTCTAGTAAAATTTAACTTTTTTTTTGGCACCTCTATGATGTGATGCTTTTTTATTGATACATTACTCTGTTAATCCAAGTTCAAAAGTCTGTTATAATAGTTACATTTTGTATTTGTGATGGCTTAGGTAAAAACATGTACTTAGTCAAGGAAACATATGTTCCAAAAATGCTCACAATTTAGACTATTTTCAATTTAAAAATCAATAAAATAAAGTAAAATCACTGATGGAAATTTTTTTTTGTCTTACAAAATTTTTTTATATAACCCTTTTCTTGAGAAAACTCTACAGGACATGATATTCTGTTGTTACTAATTCAATAATCTTATTCATTAATAATTGTAAACGTGTTTTGAGGTTTGAGTCAAGGTCTGTTTGTTCTAGAGGGTTAAATAGTTACTTCAACAATGCTGTATGTAAATTATACAATCTGTACTTTAATTTAGACAACATGGGATACAGTCAAAATAATTTCAAGTCATTGGACTATGTGCTCAAAGTTTATTGTAGCTAAAATATAATCCTTCACTCTCTATAACTAGCTAATTCATCAGTAATTGAGATTTTTATTTTTAAACATTCACTTTCACCATCCCTATTCACTTAATTTTTAAAATACTAATTTGCGCCTCTAAAGTATCCAGTCAATTACTTTCATCTTGCCTGTTTGACTTTTCAAGTTAGTGTGAATAATTTTGGTTTGAAAATAATAATTAGTATTAGAAGAATTTTTTTATTTTTTTTAGAAAAAGAGTTTAACTAGTCCTTAGCAAATTTTGATTTGTTTTTGGCAAAAATATTTTACAGGTAACAAAACTAAGTCAAAATAGATTTTAAATAAGTGGAAATTCAAGTCACATTCCCTTTTAAGGACTTCCTGTTCAATATCTTTCTATAATACTAATCTTGTGGTTGTAATTCATCAAGTCAAATATATTGTCATGCTTGTGTGGCATTTTTTTTTTTTTTTTTTTTTTTTTGTTTTTCTTTTTTCGTTTTTTTTTTTTTTTTTTTTTTTTTTTATTTTTTTTTTTTTTTTTTTTTTGTGTGAGTCTCATTGCCAGTTTACATGCTACTTTTTCTATTTATTGTAGAAATTACTAGACATAAATTGAATCAATATTTATGTATTAACAAGAACATGTAAGTTCTGTACAGTAAGGCTGATTCGCTACATTGATAGTCATATTATATTCTCAATCTCTTTGTGACCCTTCTAAACTGTCCATCCCTTCTCAATCTCTTGGTGACTTTTCTAAATGCTGTGCCCTGCCCATTCTCAATCTCTTGGTGACCCTTCAACCTCTAATTTGTGTACTCTTTCTCCATTTCTTGGCGACCCTTCTAAATTGTGTGCCCACTCTCCCTCTCTAGGTGACCCTTCGAAATTGTGTGCCCACTCTCCCTCTCTAGGTGACCCTTCTAAATTGTGTGCCCACTCTCCCTCTCTAGGTGACCCTTCGAAATTGTGTGCCCACTCTCCCTCTCTAGGTGACCCTTCTTAATTGTGTGCCCACTCTCCCTCTCTAGGTGACCCTTCTAAATTGTGTGCCCACTCTCCCTCTCTAGGTGACCCTTCGAAATTGTGTGCCCCCTCTCCCTCTCTAGGTGACCCTTCTTAATTGTGTGCCCACTCTCCCTCTCTAGGTGACCCTTCTAAATTGTGTGCCCACTCTCCCTCTCTAGGTAACCCCTCTAAATTGTGTGCCCACTATCCCTCTCTAGGTGACCCTTCGAAATTGTGTGCCCATTCCCTCTCCAGGTGACCCTTCTAAATTGTGTGCCCACTCTCCCTCTCTAGGTGACCCTTCTAAATTGTGTGCCAATTCTCAGAAAGTGTTTTCTTTTAAGGTGCATATGGTTTATTTGAAATCAATTGGTTATAAAATGTTGTGCTTGAACATAATGGAGAAATCACACTAAAGTTGATAAGTAGGAAAAATATGTACTCCCTATCATTACCAGTAATGTCCATGGAAAGCAACTCAGCACATAAATGTTAATGACTTTGATTACTTGTTTAAAATACAAAATGGAACAGTGCCCATGCCATCTCTGAACCTTCGTCAACATTGAGCACCTTTTCTAATATGAAGTACCAATAAGTTCATTGTAATACTTTCAATAACGCTTTTCACTTTTATAAGTAAGTTACAGATTGTTGTACATATCAGTTAAATTGAATAAGTGCTGACACCTTTGGTAGTGATATCCTTTATTGCGTCATGATGTGATGTTTGATTTTGCAAAATATTTAATACAAACACAACTTATGTTTAAATATAAGTAAATAAAAACAAAACAAATTGGTATTTATGTTTTATTATTATATGTATGTATTTAAAAACATTTCATTATGTTCATATGTAAATAGTTATTTCTATGCATTCAACTTATGTACTGTGCTGTCATTGTAAGTGGCTTTCTATTTTTCAGGCAGTTTTCTCCCTTTCATGCACAGGCTTTGTATCATGCTTCAAAAAAACAACCCCCCCAAAAAAAAAAAGAATTTAAAAAAAGACAATAAACATTAACAAACCATAAACTAGTGGCTCTTTCCTAATTTCAATGTGTTCTACTTGGTGTTTACATCCATAAGGACTGCTGCCCATAACTTAGATAATTCACATTTGTTTAGTTATATAATGTGCAACTTGTTTATCAAAAAGATATTTTAAAATTATGATCCATCCTTATGGTGCTACAGCCCATTGTAGGGCTTTGGCCTGCCTCACCACATCCAGCCAGACCTGATGCTTTTCTTTTCCATGCTTGGATTCCTAGCTACTGTAGATCTTTTTCCATGTCATCCATCCAATCTAAGCCTATGTCTGCCTTTGAGTCGTGTTTCCTGTTGAGTTTTGGTGGTGCACCCTCTTCACTCCTCTGTATTAGGCATTCTTTCTAAATGTCGATCCCAGCATAGCTTGCCCTTTTTTTTATTTCTGCTACTAGTGTGGAATCCTTTGGCTTCCTGGTTGGTTCATATTCTCCATACATATTCATCCTTTGTTGGTCCATATGTTTTCCAGAGAACTTCTCTCTCCCATGTGTTTAATATGTTTTCTGCCATTTTTGTTAGGGTCCAAATTTCACTTGCTTAAGTTACAACTGGTCTGATGACAGTTTTATTTATAGTTTTCTGCCATATTTTTGTTATATTGTTACTTTTGAGTATTTTCTGACTAATCAGGATACAAAATTATCAAATAAGAAAAATTATTATAAGAGACATCAATATTTGCATTGTAAAATGAAATGAGATTATTGTTCTTATCAATCACTAAAAAAATGTTACTGATTGTATGTATAAATGGCTATTAATAAGAAGAATTACGATTTTATCACAGTATTTATGGATATGCAGATTACGATTTTATCACAATATTGTAAAGAAAAATGATATTACTGTTATGGTACATGTTCTATGTCAGTAGAAGAAAAAAGAATAGCAGCATTGCATAAAATATAAGGACATTCCTGAGTTTTTTTAAAATGAACTAAAACCAAAAAATTGTTTGTTTCTTTCATATCAAAGAAGTCAGCGTAGCTTGCTTTTTTTATTTTTATCTATTACTTTCCACTCTCAGACTTGCCAGCCTCTCAAAATGTTCCACTTGTTGAGTGCACAGCCTAACTAATCCGGCATTAAATAATATTAAAATTGTTGTTTCACATTCTTTTTGCAGTTATTTCAAATTGTTATCTCCAAGAGCTGCGTTTTTGTGCAGGTGTCAGTTGAGATGTTTGTTCTGATGAGGTCCTGCGTTGTGTATCTGTGCCACCATCAAAATTATTGTGTGTCTCTGGGTTGATCATATTTGAAAGGCTTTCAGATCTTTTGAGCTTTAATGTTCTCATAGCAACAAGAGGCACGTGCACTTTTTGAGATTTGACCCCGTGTCTTTTCTTGCCTGCTACTGGTTTTTCTTGCAATGTTGTATCAGCAACTGTAGGAGAAATATTTATAGGTGTCTTTTTCATGTACAGTTCTGAGTCCTCCACATCCTCTGATTTATGGAGATCTACCAGCTGACTGCCAATGTAAAGGTCGCTAGAACTTCTTGTAAGGTGACGGTGCGTTTCATCCCTGCTAGATGTGACAGTTTGGTTTCGTGATTTATGTGTAAAGTCGTTAACATTTAAAATATTCCACAAACTGTTGTTAGAAAAATTTAAATGTTGCAAAATGTTGCCTGAAGATTGACCATCCTTGCATTGTGGCCCACTTTCAGAATCACCAACCACGGTATCCTGACCATGTTGAACATTTGAAAAGAAGTTTATGTCAGGAATGTTCCAGTTGCTTGCTTTTTTGTGAGATTTTGGAACCCATTGTTTCTCGTACTTGATTTCAAGCTCTTGGATCAGCTGTTGCAGTTCCCTATCTATACGAGTCTGTTCCTCTTTTACTTCTCTTTTCTCTTGTAAAGCATTTTCTCTTTTCTGCTGACATTTATGAGACAAATTGTTAATCTTGGCAAAAAACTCTTCTCCAAATCTTGAAAAAGCTTTAGCACCTGAAAGTAGATAAAAAGTATCAATTAATTACTGCAGTAAATATTTTATTGGTTTTTTAGGTTGTCTAAAAAAACAAACGTTAAAATACTTGCAAAGGAAACAAAATTTCAAAAGAAAATTATTTTTTAAATTAATTTAATGCTGTATAAATATTCAAAAAAGGTAAATAATCACTTCTTTAAATTTGAGATTCACTGTTAAAATATCAGTCTTTACTAAATAGCTACCCTCCCGAACAAGAGACACTTCTGTTAATAACATTTGTTCACTTAAATTAACTCACCACTGTCGTCAGTATCAAAGTCAAGATTGTCCATCATGTCAACAATAGATTGGAGCTGAAATTATAAAGAATTTACATTTTTGCACTTGGTATGCCAGACAAAAATGAGGTATCCAGAATGATATTATAGAGGGAAATATGGGAGCATGGGTCAAGGTGATGCCCCCCCCCCCCCCATTATGTTTGTCATCTAGTTTTTAATGTATTGATATTTACCTGATTCTCATTTTCTTTAATACTTATAAGGAAACCTTTCAAGGCTTCCTCAGATGCAGAATTCTTCAATTTGGAATATGAAAGCAGCATTTCTGCAATATTTTGAAAATAAAGGATAGTTTTTAAGTTATTTTACCATTTATTAATTAAAAACGTTTACTAAAAATGTACTTATTGAAAGTTGGAATCATATTTATTCACATTTTTCCTACCTGATTTAGCAATTTCTTCCCAAGGACTGGACTAACTAAATCAACTTTCATATTTTTACTATACCCAGGTTTATAAGCCTTGCTTTGTAGACAAGTCAAAAAAAGATGGTAAAGTGATCATATTAGACCTAGGCCTATATTTTATAGCTTGAAAGGCAATTCTTTGCTATGCTATAGGGCTCTAATCCCCGACACACCACAGTACCTTACTGAGTTAAAATAATAATGTAGAAAAATGATTTATAACCAATTTTATTAATGAACCTGAAGCTTAAATACTCATACATAACTGCAACTGTTTATCTCACCTAATATATTCAATAGCTCATTAAGTATTAACATTACTGGTCATGAAGTTTATTTTTCATAAAAACATACTTTTGATAGGTTGACAAATGACAGATCTTACTGAAGTTTCAAACTCATCATAACCTTTTCTGAAATAATATCAATGAACAGTTTCACTTGATTTTCAGAACTGCTATAATAAAACTAACATTCAATTTAACTGTGAACTCTATATTTGTCCTCAACATCACACAATTTAGCCAATGCCAACATATTGATCAAAGAATTTTATCTTAGGGTTTTAAAATATAAAAATGAGTGACAAAAATAAATAATATTCGTGATAGAAGTGAAACCATTTTTTAACAAAATTTTAATCTAAATTTATTTTTTTCCTTATAATATAAATAGTTTTTAAGTTTTTACTAATGATATTTTTGCTAAATTGTCCAACCTGACAGCATCAAAGAGGTTCTGGGTGTACTGCAACTGGATGTCATACACTGATCTATGAAAAGCTAACTCTTCTTTTAATACCGTCTTCTCTTTTTCCATCAAAAGTTGCCTGTGATTACAGACGTGGATACTTGACTCGATAACATGGTGAACTTCATCATGTTTGCTGCGTGGGAGGTTTGGAAGAGCTGCCTTGACACGTTCAATTGGAACTTGATCTGCAAGTGGACGCTTTAATCCTGGCTGTACGTTTCCAAAGTTAGATTCAGAAATTAATTACTTATTGGCAATGAAAATTAAGTATTCTATTCTTTAAGAATTATGATCAGACTCAAGCGTTTTAAGCTGCAAATCAATTTTCACTAATTGAATATTCAAACTAAATTTGCACAAATAGAAATTTTAGTGGTCAAAGAGCATATAGTTGTTATTGTAATTGAGATGTACTAAAAACATTATTTAACGTATTATAACAAAAAAATTACAGCAGGTTTTTAAAACTACAATAACATTCCTATTTTGTCAACAAAAACTTTAAATAGATCAGATAAGCATCTGAGACTTACTAAAGGTGCACTTGGACACAGTAAAGATAAGGACAAGAGCTCATCAGCAACATCCTTAATGAGGACACAAGATTTTAGAAGAATTGTCTCAGTTCTATTTTTTTCACTGGTGCTCACGTTGCCAGAGTACATGCGTCCATTTTTTAATCCTTCCACAACATCATGAACACGAATCAGTTCTTTGTACAGTCTGCACATTTTGGATTCAAGTTCACTCTGTTCCATTAGTTAGCACAAACAAGATTTTTTCATTAGTAATAGGATATTTGCATTAACAAAACTCTCTCGCTACACAAGAACTATAAATTAAAGAATTTTCCTTCATTTATTTGTAAACAAACATTTGTAAAAAAAAATAATAACTCTGTTTCAGGCTTAATATCACCATGCATTTTTTAAAATTTGAAAATAAAATTTAATTTCTACTTCTTCGTCTCGTTGGTCTTATTAGTAGTACAATTTTATAGTTGACTGTGTTTCCCCCTCTGCACTGTTGTCCCCATCTCTCTGTTTTTGTTTGTTTCTGTCACACTCAAACATTGCACTAAATAATTAAAATATTATAAAAGAAAATGTAACCAAACCACAATCACTCCACAACTTACCACATGCCTCAAGTTTACATACTCCAACCGCTTGAGAGAAATGTCTAGTAAAGTGAGTGGTTCCTCCTGTCTAAATTTGCCTCCTAAAAATGGATTCAAGAAAATCAACTCTTTTCCAACTGCTTCTTTGCCTGAATTCTATATTTGAATTAGATGTGATAAAACATATTTGCAATATGTATAGCAAACTCTGACAACAAGCAAATATAAATAACAAATTGGAGAGTTCCACAAAGCAGTACAGAACCAAACTGTTTTAAAGTTTTATGCAGAGTTCATCCTGATCATGATTTATATCATCTCACTAATATGAATATCTGTATGCCTTATCATACATCAAATGTATATAATCACAGAACATGCACTTGTAAGTTTGATGTTATAATAGTTATAATACATGTATTGATTTATTTATCAACTATTATGGACCTGCAAAGCTTAGTTTCAGCAGCTTCAAATTTGTGATCAATAATATATATTTTTTACAATTCAATACAATGCATTTTGAAGGTTTTATAAGAATCAGCCATTGTAGATTACCTCCAATGATTTGAAAAGCTTGATCCTAGCTGATTCTAGGCTTTCCACTATTTGTGTCATATCACCATGAACACCAGATAATATAAGTCCTTTAGTATTACTTGTCATAAGTGACCTTAAGATGTATTGAAACAAAAGAGAATTTACAATTATTATATATTATTATTTTTAAAAATAAATCCATTCCACTTAATTTTAAAACAGCATGACTCATTATTTCCTTGTAAAGCATTTTAAGACATGTAAATAGAAAGGTAAAGATAGTTTTCTACTAAATTTAAAGGAATACACAGCACTTTTGTGAACTTTGATTCAGGGGAGGCCGTAGTGAAAATTTCTAAAATCATGTAATGTATTTTTATTTTATTATGTGTCAAATCATATAATGCCCATAACAAATATGGTCGAGAAAATGTTTTCAAAATTTGAATTATTAAAAAAAATTATTCATCTAGAATGCTGTGCATGCCGGTACTTTACAGCTTCAGCCTAGATCAAGCACTGCCTAGATCAACCATTGCCTAGACTTACCTAGCTCACTAAATTTAATCATTTCTAACTGCACTCAGGTTGAAGCAATAAGAAATATACAAAAGGCAGATGGAAAAGCTGAAGAAGGACAGTAACAGAAAGTGAAAGTTGAAAGTTTCTGCCAAAAAAGACTTTGACAGCAAAAACAGTTAAAGACAGAGACAAACACTCTTAGCTTGTTGTATAGATATGTAGTCTACAGAAAATGGTAGACATATGCAACTACGGAAGTGATCCATGAAATCAAAGAATTTGCCTATGAGATTAACAGGAAACGTAAAATATTAGAAAGAAATTAAATAAGAGCTCAGAGTATTGTTAAAAAACAGCGAGGACTGCATAGGTAAGTGTTACGCTCTGACTTGTATTGGGAGAAATTAATCTCCTATTTTAATTTTAATTTGGCTCGTTGTAAAGAGTGCCTAACAAAGGACGATACCATAGAATCAACAATATTAAAGATACGGCCCAAAACAGTTTCTAGTCACAATTAATTAAGATTTATTATGTCTTAAGATAATTACAAAATAAAATAAAATAAAATTACAATCTTCAACTTACAGTATGGCAGATGTCGTACCGGTACACAGTTAATACAATTAGAAATAATGATAATGTTAAGAGAATCTATAAGAAAATCTCCGTCCTCGTCCGTGCCTGTCAATCCCTTATATAGGTGGGTCTACCGACGCCCAAGCCCTGCCTTCGAGAAATTTCTAGAAAAATCAAAATCATTCTACAAAATACTATTTGGAACAGATTAATTATTTTTATTCGTTGGCGGCGTAAACAAGAAATACATCAAAGACCTAAGCCACACCCCTTTGTGAACACAGCATCTCATGCGGGGTCAATCAGAGGGCACGCACGAGAAATATGATGTAAACAAGCTCTCTATAACATAAGGTTAGCAAGGATGTTGGATATGAGGCAAATATCATGGAAAGATCACAAAATGCAAAT